GATCTCTATGATCAACAACATGGAGCCAATCAAGAACCTGAAGGGGGCCCAAAGGCTCATGGGGTGCTTGGCGGTGCTCAACCGCATCATGTCCTACCTTGGGGAGCGAGGTATACCTCTGTACAAACTCCTTCAGAAATCTGAACACTTCGAGTGGACACAGGAAGCTCAGGACGCGTTGACCCGGTTGAAAGAGTTTCTGGCCATGCCGCTTGTGCTGACCTCCCCCACCAAGGGGGAGACCCTGCTCCTATACACCGCAGCCACTCCACACACCGTCAGCGTGGCTCTCATCGTGGAACGGGAGGAGGAGGGCCACGCCCTCAAAGTTCAACACCCGGTGTACTTCGTCAGTGAGGTCCTCTACAACTCGAAGTCTCGCTACTCGAAGGTTTAGAAACTTCTGTACGCCATGCTCATCACCAAGCACAAGCTCCGGCACTACATCGATAGGCACCCAGTGGTGGTCTTGTCCTCCAGCGGGCCTCGGGGACGTCATAAACAACCAAGAGTCCACGGGCCGCATCGCTAAAAGGGGGCTCAAGCACATGGGCCTCAACATCACGTACGCTCCCCGCACGATGATCAAATCCCAAGTGCTTGCCGACTTCATGGCGAAGTGGACGGAGGAGCAAGCCTCGACCGTCTCCGCCAAGCTAGAGTATTGGACCATGTACTTTGATGGCTCCCTCACGCTCGAGGGGGTAGATGCCGGAGTCCTCCTCATATCCCCTAGTGGCGATAAGCTAAGGTACGCCCTCTAGCTTCACTTTTAGGCCACTAACAATGTCACAGAGTATGAGGCACTCCATGAAATCCAGGTGGCCGCCGACCTTGGCGCGCGACGCCTCTTCATGTGGGGAGACTCTGAGCTGGTTATCAACCAAGTCATGAAGAAGTCAACCTATCGAAATGTGAGGATGGAGGCCTGTTGCGTAGAGGTCTAGAAGCTGGAGGAGAAGTTCAATGGCATCGAGCTCCATCATGTCCTCCGGAGGGACAACGACGAGGCCGACACCCTGACGAAGCTGGTGTCCTCTCAGAAGGACCCACCACCGGGGTCTTCCTCGATGTCCTCGACACCTCCCCAATCCGCCTCGAGGGAGAACTAGGGACGGCGCCCAATGGGGCCACCCCCAGCACAAGCCCGGCCGACGACGAGTCATCACCTCCTAGAGAAAGCGTGATGGACGTTACCACGCACGGTCACCGAGGGGCTGAGCCGCTAGTAGGGCCCCTCCTAGACCCTTCGGCGCGGCCTTAGAAGTGCGGGCGTCATGAGTTCACCACCGTTGATGAGGGGTTCGACAGCCTCGGCACGGGGAGCTTTGAACGGCCCTCGACGCCGATGGATGACTCGCTTACCCAACAAAGCTCACCCTCCGCTGGCCCGGTGCCACCCCTCGCCGGTGAAGCGTGCGCGCCAGGGGGAGGCTCCCCCCATCTGTCCGGGAGCCCTGAGGACCAAATGACGCCCTTTTCCGACTTCCTCTAGTGTGGGATCCTCCCTGACAACGTCACCGATGCTCATAGACTAGAGCGTCACGCCAAAAGCTACAAGCTTGTGGGTGGACAGCTCTCCCAACAAAGCGCCTTTGGGGTACTCCTTCGATACATCCCCTCGAAGAGGGGAAGAAGCTGCTCCTCGACATTCACGCTAGCATCTGCGTGCACCACGCAGCCCTAAGGGCCGTCATTGGGAAAGCCTTCAGACATAGCTTCTACTGGCCAATGGACCTCGCCAATGCTAGGGACCTCGTCAGGACATCTAAATGGTGCTAATACTACGCCAAGCAAAATCACCTGCCAGCACAGGCACTCCAGACGATTCCCATTACCTGGCCCTTCATGGTCTGGTGCCTCGACATGGTCGGGGGATTTAGGAAGGCACCCGGGGGGTTCGACCACCTTCTATTCACCATTGACAAATTCACCAAATGGGTCAAGGTCCAGCCCATCGTCAACCTCAAGTCAAAGCAAGCGTCCGAGTTCATTCATGACATCATTGACAGGTTCGGGGTTCCAAATCGTATTATCACTGATGACGGCACTCAGTTCATGGGTCCCAAGTTCCTGGATTTCTGCGACTCCTGGCGAATTCAAGTGGACTGGGCATTGGTGTACCACCCCGAGTCCAATGGCCAAGTCGAGCATGCCAACGGGTTAATCCTCTAGGGGATCAAGACCCACATCTACAATGACCTCAAGATTCATGCCGGCCATTGGGTAGATGAACTCCCCTCCTTGCTCGGGAGCCTCAAGATGAGTGTGAACCGTTCAACCGGTTACACCCCTTTCTTCCTCGTCTACGGGGCCAAGGCAGTCATCCCCTTTGACCTCGACTTCGACACGCCCCTCATTTGTTTCTACAACGAGCAATAGGCTGAGGAGCAGCGCCAGGCAGACATCAACATGCTCAAGGAGGATCAACACACCGCCGTCATATGGTCCGCCAAATATCAACAAGGACTGCGTCGCTACCATGCCAGATGGGTACGTGAACGTTCTTTTGTTGTAGGTGATCTCGTCCTCCAAAGGGTCGCCCCCCTTCAAAAGAGGCCACAAGCTATCTTTGCCATGGGAAGGTCCGTTCTGGGTCTCGCGGGTAATCTGACCAGGCGCTTACAAAATCAGCAGCATCTCAGGTGGAGAGTACGATAATGCATGGAACATCAAATAGCTACGTCGCTTTTACCCATAGCTCGTTCTTCCTATAATACATTTTCGTACCTCTAACCGTCACGGACTTACTCGTTAGTAGCACAGACGGGGTAATCTTGGCCACCGAGGCTATTGTCATAGCAGCCCATCCCCATGAGGGAAATAGCAGCTCCAAGCTGCAAGCTCGTCTGAGCATGGGAAGGCCTCAAGGCCCCACATTCGCCTTGGAGGTTCCGCCGGCTCCCCAGACGGAGCAACCCCCCCCCCCCGATCAATCAGCGCCTGGGCGGCGCACCCCCAAAACCAACCAACTTCCTCGAGTCGGGTCGGGAGCCACTGAACAGTGGCCCAACGAAGGACCCCCCTGCCCGAGCTCAACGTTCTTCCCGTGTCCTGACCTATAGCCGCAGAAGGTCGGCCTAAGAAGGCTAGCCCGAGAGGACTAGGTTCTGCTATCGAAGCCCCTAGAAGGGCGTGGCATGCCGGGTGATCAGGTGGCCCCGAGTCAGAGCCAAGACGCTCTCGATTACCCGACCCACGGCAGGCTCCGACCAAAAGGAAGGGTGCCCCGGGCCTAAAGTTGGTAACTCTCAGACGAGTTCATCGAACCCTCGATCGGGCCACAGACCAACGCGACATAGGACCAAAGAAGGGGTCATCACTACTATCGGTCGGCCTCGACAGCCGAGCACCCCCATCACACTTGGGGAGAGGGCCCCATGAAGGGCATTGCACTCTCGTCAGTAGAAGCCATCCCCGCCATAGCTCGGTCACCAGAAGATCGAATTCAGCCCTTCGTCGCCATCACGAACCAGGCCAAGTGAGGCCACGAAGGGCTCGGGGGCTCCTGATGAGATCCTAACATATGGGTATGTTAAGCCTCGGGATCAATGGTTCCCGACCGAAGAGCCCCCTGACCGACCCCTCTAGGATCACTAGGGGGCTCGGGGGCTATACCCATTGGGTACGCTCACACCCCCCTCAGACCAAGAAACCAGAACGAGCCTGAGCATGCCGTGGCCTCTGCTCAAGGCTCGAGGGCTCGCTCGAGCCTCGGGCTTCTGATCGATGGGAAAACTGAGCCCGATCCTTGGCTCCTGCCTGGCCTACGACGCCAGCCAAGGCCTAGGCACTAGAAGACATGCCCTGAGCCATCGAGGCTCGGGGGCACCCCGATGTTGTACTTTGGGCTCGACGCTGCCAGCCGCTCCCCCGATAGGGTCACGCGCGTGGCGTGACACAAGAAGACAAGCTCTCCTCAGCCTCGGGGACTCGGGGGCTTCCAGGCCCTCGTGTTAGCCCCTCGAGCCGACCTCTCACGTCAGCAAGAAGACTCCAGAAGGTGCGCCTGGGGGAGACCGGTCCAAACCGACACAGCCTGACAGTCAACGTGTCAGAATAGGCGAGCTGAACGACGTCCAGCGCTTCTTCGGCTCCACGACACCGCCACGGTCCACATGGCGCCGCTGCAAGACCCTCCTGGACCTCGGTGCATATAGACCATAGGCTCAACCCCCCAGACCGCAATGTACCTGACCTATCTCGATATATAAGGGATAAGGTAGGATCTAGGGGGACGATCCGAGATAGATCATTCCATTCCTCATCGATTCGCTCCTGCTCGGCACCGAGAGCAGAGCAACCAAGAGGGGGGCACCGAGTGCTCCTCCATCGCACCCGTCGTCTTCCTCCTCTCCGACGAGGGGAAGGCTCGGCAACCTTAGGATTAGCACCGAGCTAACCCCCTACCAAATCTCTCTCTACCTCCTGTACACTTTGCTGTAACCCCCCGATTTTCGGTGCTCTTGAGTATAAGGATCATCAACTGCTGGACGTAGGGCATCGATCGGCCCGAACCAGGATAAACCGTTACGTCCTCTCTGTGAATCTTGTGTTCTTGAGTCCACCCGAGCCACCGGAGACACGTACTCTGACACGACTCGAACAACAATGGTTGCCGCGATTCTGACCCCATGACATTTAGTAATTTTGAAGTCTAAGGGCCTATTTTGATACACATGGCTAGTTACTGTTTGGAACTAAAAATTAGTTAACTAGCTCATTAGCTAATAACGGCGGAGTAGTTGCTAAAAAATTAGTTTATTTATTAGCCCTCCTGTTTACATGTACTCAAGTTAATTTTAGCTAGCTATCAATTAATCTTGCATCAAACGGGCCCTGAATTACCCAGTACAAGGCGGGCATACATAAAACCATCATACTGCGCAGCACATTATTATTTGGGGATGTCCTTCGAGAGTAGTTGGAGTCTAATCATGACACACCACGGTGACAGAGCACTAGAGATGAACCACATGCACCAATGTTGTTGCTAGAAGCTAGGCGAAGGAGAACTTAAAGACCATGTCATGCTTGTACACCTGGCCCGGCCTCACGATCTGCGACGGGAAGCTTGGGTGGTTCACGGCGTCGGGGAACCCCTGCGTCTCGAGGCACAGCGCGCCGTACCGCCCGTACACGCTGCCGCCCTTGCCCCTGACGCCGCCGAGCCCGTTGCTGGTGTAGAACTGCACCCCGGGCTGGTCCGCCCACAGCTCCATGGCCCGCCCCGTCGCGCCGTCCCAGACACGCGCCACCGGCCGCAGCGCCGTCAACGCGGCGCCATCGTCCACGTCCACGGCGTAGTTGGTGTCGTAGCCCGCGATGACGCCGCCGCCGCGGCGCAGCAGGTCCGCCAGGCGCGCGCCCAGGGGCGCCGGCGCGCGGAAGTCGTAGGGCGTGCCGGCCACGGGCGCCAGCGCGCCCGTCGGGATGAGCGTGGCGACGTCCGCCACCGGCGTGTACCGCGACGCGAAGAGCTGCACCGTCTCGCCGAGGACGGGCCCGCTGCCGTGGCCGCCCAGGTTCCAGTAGGCGTGGTGCGCGAGGTTCACCGGGGTGGCCTTGCTCTGCGCCGTGGCGTTCATGCGCACGCTCAGCCCGTACGGGGACGAGAGCTGGTACGTCACGTACACGTCCAGGGCGCCGGGAAACCCTGCTTAGTAGTTGGTTTAATTAAACAAACAATCGCAAAGCAGACGCCGACGCGTACGTTAATCTAAAAAAAAATGCAAGCACATGGTTGTTACACTCTAGCAGTCCACAGTCCACAGTAGTGCGCCCGAGAGCGTATTCTGCGAGTGCAAAAGGGACGGAAAGCGCAAGTGCGTGTGCAGGAAAAGAGACCTTCTCCGAGATGACGACACCGGACCACAGTCCACGTGTCCATATGATCGCTGGTGCCGCACTGAAATATTCTCTCCGGCACTCACTCATCTACAGATGGCGTGTTTCGTAGTAGCACCAATGTAGGAGTGCCATCAAAAGAAAAGGAGCCGTTCGTTAAAAAAGAGGGCATCTATCTACATGTCACTTGACATTTCAGCCGTATAATCCACACTCAAGAGTTTCGGGCTATATGGTCTATCCGGTAGCTTTCATCAACATTATTCATCTAATAATAACCTATAGCCTTTTTTAGATAAACTCATCCCCTCCCAATACATACAAATTGATCGCAGAGGAAAATAAAAACTAGTTTTTATCTGATCAATTCCTATTACTTCTCTCCAACCCACGTGTTAGGGGCGAAGGGGCTCATCCAAACAAGCCCTTAATCAGAGAGAAGCAAAGGCTTACATGTGAATTACGGCCAAAAATACTCGGGGAGAGACTTAACCATCATCTGAGGAGCTACCCAGTTGAAATACACAAACCAACTAACCAAGCACCCCCTCCTCCTCTAACATTTCTGGCTGTGCCCCCTGCTGCCTCGACTGCCCAATATGTAGTTATGCACGCTGTTGGAGATAATGAAGAGCCAACACACGGTACATACCTTGCTCCCCGTCGAAGCTATGGTAGTAGAGCGTGATGTACGGGGAGTCACCGCCGCCGACGTGCTCCTTCACCGTCCATATCACCTTGCTGAACCCCCGGTGGCCACCTGCATGCTCCGATGTTGCGGTAGAAACATCAGTAAACAGAAAACTAAGGAACAATCACATCACACAGCTGCTCCGAGTCGGAGCAATGCAATCAGCAGAGCCTCTCAGCATGCAGCAGCAGTCTATCACCGTGAAGCGAGTTGTTGCCGTCGTTGCGGTAGAGCCGGTAGGCCTTCCCGTCCAGCACGAACCGAGCGCCGGCGATCCTGTTGGCCACGCGGCCGATCAGACCCCCAAAGTAGGCGCTGCCGTTCTGCACATTATTCACAGTTTCAGTTTCACACAAGACAGCATACATGATACATCCATGTAGACAAGATTGACGAGAAGAAAGTAAAGCAAGTTTGAAACAGAATGCTGTGCTACGCGGGGAGGATCGATCGATATGATCTTACGACATATTCAGCGACGGTGTCGTAGCCGAGCACAACGTCGCCCAAGTTCCCTGCGATGCGAAAAAACCAGAGTCCTTATGCTCAAAGTTGATGATTCGATCATTCGATTTTCTTCTGTCATTGCACAAAAAAACTCTACTCCTACGAAGCATGGAAGAGGAGTGTTAGTTTACCTTTGGAGTCGGGGAGGATCACGGACATGAGAGTCGCCCCCCAGTTGGTGACCTTGATGGAGAAATCTCCCATCCTGAGCTCGTGAACACCGACCATCTTCCTGCTCCCGGCCGCCGCCGCAGCATTTTCGACGCCGGAGAAACAAACCGCCACGGCAAGGCACAAGGCGAGAAGAGCAGACAGCCGGTGCAGAGGAGGAGCTCTTGCCATTTCGCTGGAACTGGAACTGGAAGAGCAGCTGGTCCAGCCGATCGAACGGTCTCACACTTGGAGAAGGCCGGGACGAGCCCGTGTAGAGATGTCTAAGAAATTTAAGGTGATCCGTCCCCCAGCCGCTCCTTGGTTTGTGACCCCCCCTGCGCCCTAGCTACTGCGGTCCAGCGATCTGCATCGTGTTGCGCGTTTTCGCCGTCTGATGATGCATGCTAGCTCCGGTCCAGCGGCTGCCAGTGCTACTTGCGTTGCACGCGGCACTACTGGTACTGGATGGCACCAAGGCTCCGGTGGTTTGCCGGATCAGCTCTGGATACTTGCGCCGCGCGTGCAGTGCGGCCGTGCTTTCCTTTTCCGTGAAGGTTTGTGGAGCATCATTGCATGCAATCCGCTTGTGCGGAAAAACAAGGGCCCCCCCGCAGAAGTGTCATATGGGCATCCAAAAAGAAGCAGCGCTATATCATGACTTTATATGAGCTTGATCCCAACTCCAAAGAAGAATGTACCCCTGTCATGCCAAGCCAGTGGACCCAGGAGTCCCATGATGTGATAATCCATGAACACATAACCTCTCAGGAGCAAAACGTGTTCTTGAGAATCATCACCTGATAGTTCAGCACAGTGTACCAATAAGTAAAGTTTGATTGTTACACACCGATCTAAGGATTCGCCTTTGAAAATGACTTTTAATAAAGGTAGGCATTCAAAAGATCCGCTTCTATAGATAGATTAACAAAGACGGTCGTTCTAAGGGTCCGCCTCTAAAATTAGTTGCCCCACCATAACTTTTTCATATGAATTCAGACGAAGACAAACTTTACACCAAAATTGTAGAGCTGTGTGCGATCTACTACTTTGTACTCCCTCCATAAAAAAATGCAATTCTCGTTTTTCGAGAAGTCAAAAAGTTTGAATTTTGACTAAATTTATACAAAAAATACTAACATTCATGATACAAAATAAGTACCATTAGATTAGTTATAAAATATATTTTCATAATAAATTTATTTGGAGACATAAATGCGAATACTCCTTCCATTCCAACTTATAAGTCATTCCAAGAATCATGGATAGTCAAAGCATCTCAAGTTTGAACAAAATTATAGAGAGAATTATAAAGATTTTTGACATCAAATAGGTATACTATAAAAATATAATTGATGAAGAATCTAATGATACTTAGTTGACATCATAAATGTTATTATCTTATCATATAAATTTGGTCAAACTTAAGGTGCTTTGACTCTCAAGATTTTTGGAGTGACTTATAATTTGAGATGGAGGGAGTACTATTTACTATAGACTTGATCAAACTCTAGTTTCACCGACACTGATCACATAATTGCATTCTTTCATAGACGGAGGGAGTAGTAGATAATTTTTTATTTGAAACTGTTGTCATGAAATGAAGTTTTTATGTTCAAACAAAAATACCATTTAAGCTATCAAAACTTAGGATTTAGAATTTAGATTTTTCGAACAACCTCTGATGTTGACATGATCTACACAAAAGTTATATTTCTCAATACGCCCAATAACTTTGTAGTTCACATGTTTTTTATTTCAAGTCATTTAGATTCCTAAATATTTGTTTTATGTTCTAAGATTTAAAATTTTAAAATCTAGAAAATTCAAATGAAAATCAAATGTTAACATGATCTATACCAAACTTGTAACTGTCAATGTAGTTTGCAACTTTGCAGTTTGAAAACATCTAGAGTCCCAAATGTTAGTTTCAAAATTCTTAGATTTGATATTCAAATTTTTGAAAATTTCAAACTATCACGGATGGAGACACACCCTATATCAGAATTATAGAGCTTGACAAGATATAAAACTTTGTAGTTGAAAAGTTTTCGTTTGAAATAATTTAGGGGCTAAAATATTAGATACAAGATTACAGAATGTTTATAAAAAAATATAGTGTCCTATGTGTACGCACAAATGACTGTTTAGTGCAATGGTAGAGAGGTGTGTTAGAAGTTGTGGGTTTGTATCTAAAAACACTTGTCTGTAGCCATTATGGATGAAAACGGTACGGATATTTATTCGACCGTTCGTTCGACCAAACAAATATGAACACTTATCTGGATAGTTACTCGGATATCCGTTTTTTTTTCGGATACGGATACTAAAACAGATATCTTAGGCGGATATCAAATACGGATGTAATATCATCGATATCCGGCGGATATCGGATAATCCGGATAAGTATCGGATATATCCGGATATTTAAAAACGGATATTATCCGGATATTTAGTCAAAATTTAAAAATCACAAATTTGAACCATCCAAACTATCTCAAATGGAAAGTTGACCAAAACAACAATTGTAGATCTTGATGAGTTGAACAAACTTGGTATTCAAAACTTTTCAATTTGAAGTCATTTAGAGTTCATAATACTAGAGTCAAAGTGTTGTTTTTTCATTTGACTAAATTTGACTTGGTCAAACTTGCTCAAATGAGACACTAAATGACCTCAGATGAAAAAACTCTGAATACCAAGTTTGATCATCTCAGCAAGATCTACAATTGTTACATAGCTCATTTTCCCATTTGAGAAAGTTTTATCAAACACTAGTCATAAATTCTTGAATCTCATATAGACTTTCTCAAACTATGTCACACACTTGTGAAATTTGAACTATATTTTGTTCAAACTTTCTCAAATGAAAAAATGGCCTATATAAGGATTGTATATCTTGATGAGATGAACAAATTTGGTATTCAAAACTTTTTAATTTGAGACAATCTAGGGTTAGAAAACTAGTTTGTAAAGCGTTGAAATTTAAAAATCACAAATTTGAACCGTCCAAACTATCTCAAATGGAAAGTTGACCAAAACAAAATTGTAGATCTTGATGAGTTGAACAAACTTGGTATTCAAAACTTTTCAATTTGAAGTCATTTAGAGTTCATAATACTAGAGTCAAAGTGTTATTTTTTCATTTGACCAAATTTGACTTGGTCAAACTTGCTCAAATGAGACACTAAATGACCTCAGATGAAAAAACTCTGAATACCAAGTTTGATCATCTCAGCAAGATATACAATTATTACATAGCTCATTTTCCCATTTGAGAAAGTTTTATCAAACACTAGTCACAAATTCTTGAATCTCATATAGACTTTACGAAACTATGTCACACACTTGTAAAATTTGAACTACATTTTGTTCAAACTTTCTCAAATGAAAAATAGCCTATATAAGGATTGTAGATCTTGATGAGCTGAACAAACTTGGTATTCAAAACTTTTCAATTTGAGACAATCTAGGTTTAGAAAACTAGTTTGTAAGCATCGAAATTTAAAATCACAAATTTGAACCATCCAAACTATCTCAAATGGAAAGTTGACCAAAACAAGAATTGTAGATCTTGATGAGTTGAACAAACTTGGTATTCAAAACTTTTCAATTTGAAGTCATTTAGAGTTCATAATACTAGAGTCAAAGTGTTGTTTTTTCATTTGACCAAATTTGACTTGGTCAAACTTGCTCAAATGAGACACTAAATAACCTCAGATGAAAAAACTCTGAATACCAAGTTTGATCATCTCAGCAAGATATACAATTGTTACATAGCTCATTTTCCCATTTGAGAAAGTTTTATCAAACACTAGTCACAAATTCTTAAATCTCTCATCTGGACTTTCTAAAACTATGTCACACACTTGTGAAATTTGAACTACATTTTGTTCAAACTTTCTCAAAATGAAAAAAATGGCCTATATAAGGATTGTAGATCTTGAATCCATGACCATGACTCCATGAGACCCATGAAGCAATGTGCTTGGCTATTTCTACTCATGCCGCGAAGATTGGTGCTTATATGATGTTTGATGTATGGTGTATGTGTATCTTTATCTTATTTGTTGCTTTACTCTTTAGTCTTTCGGCTTAATCTAGATGGATTATGGACTCATAGAGTGGTGTAATGGTTTGCGCACGTATGATATATATATATATACTGCTTTTACTCAATATCCGAATAGATATTTGTATCCGACCTTCTCCGAATCCGATTCATACCGTATTCGATACTCATTATTCGTATCCGTAACCGAGTCAATCCGTATTCGTATATGTATCCGAACGTTATCCGTGTCCGAATCCGAATCCGAACAGAAATATGAAAACAAATATAATATGAGTGATATCCGTTCGTATCCGATCCGTTTTCATCCCTAGTAGCCATTAACAGAGAAAAAAAAACTTGCAGTAGTGTTTCTACCACCGTCATTGCCACTGCGGCTAGCTTTGGCTGCTGCCGCTACCCTAATCTTCTTTAGGCGCACCTAGTACGGCATTGTAGTTCATTTGAGCCTAGTATGAAACGAAGAGATAGTTTTTCTCTCTTTTTCGATATTTTTTTCTCTCTTATTTCATTTTTGAGTAAGAAAAATGTTGAGACGGATCTCTATGAGCTAGTTAAGATACCACAACTGGAGATGCCATGAGTCTGGTAGCACTGGAATTCAAGCAAAATCCACAAAGACGTTGCAAAGACTAATCCAAATTCTAGTAACAAACACAAAATAATCACTAGGGCAGCATTGTACTTGTAGCTCTCATCAAATACCATAGTAAACACAATAACCATCTGCAGCGAAACGTGTTACTGACAAACATCATCTGATAATTCAGCACAGTGTAGCAAAGTTTGATTGTTACACATTGATCTTATTCACAACAGCAACAGCAGTAAAGCTTTCGCATCCCAAAAGCTTTCGGACCTACTACGAATAATTCAACCATATACAAGCCCCAACAAATTCATGTCTTCACCCTTGATGTTGATGACACAAGGGAAACAAAATTAACCTAAATTTCACCATACAAGTTCGATCTGGAGACAAGAAAGTGTTTTATACACAAACAATAATCTGACAACTATAACAGAAAAAAGGCAAATTCTCTCTCTCTTTTTAAGAAAAAAAGAGCTGTAGAAGTAGAAATCGAGCCTCAAGCGCTGCCTGTTTGAATCACAGCTTGTCGACGTCGACGTTCCTGAAGCTCCCGCCAAGCAACGACAGGAGGCCACCGCCGTGCACCCTCCCCTCGGGGACGGCGACCGCCCCTCCCTCTCTGCTCCTCTCCGGTGGCTGCACGGCTGCCGCCGTCAAGGATTTCATAGAGTGGGGGACCAGCACCTGGGGAGGGATCAGCTCCTGCCTCCTCGTCGCCGCCTCAGGCGAGCCGCCGCAGTCCGACACTGTGCTCACGCCCGACGACGAGTAGTCGCTGTTCACGTTCGCCGCGCTGGCGGACCCAACGATGCCGTGGAAGAGGCCCGGCCCGATCATGCAGCCGCCGCCGCGGCGCTGCTGCGAGGCCACCAGCGTGCCGTGCGCCGCGCAGAGCCCGCTCCGGCCGCGCGAGAACTTCTCGCAGCCGCCGCCGAAGTTGCACCGCTTCCCGCCGCCGTGGGCCTTGCAGTACTCGGTGCTCCCCTGCGCGCTCTTGCCGCACCCGTCCACCCTGCACCGCTTGCCACCGCCGTGCTTCACGCAGCGGTCCGTGCGCCCGCGCGCGCTCTTGCTGCACCCGGCCACCACGCACCGCTTCCCGCCGCCGTGCGCCACGCAGAAGTCCGTGCCGCCGTGGACGCTCTTGGGGCACACGCCGCCGCCCTCGTACATGCACCGCTTCCCGCCGCCGTGCGCCTTGCACAGCGGCGTGCTGCCTTCGGCCCCCTTGCCGCACCCCTCGAAGACGCACCGCTTCCCTCCGCCGTGCGACTTGCAGTACAGGGTGCTGCCCTGCGCTCCCTTGCGGCAGTCCGGGAACTGGCACCGCCGCCCGCCGCCGTGAGAGATGCACAGCCCGACCCTTCCCTCGGCGCTCCTGATGCAGCCCTCGACCAAGCACCTCTTCCCGCCGCCGTGCTTGATGCACCGCCCGGACTTGCCCCGCGCGGCTTTAGGGCAGTCAGGGTAGCCGCACCGTCGGCCGCCGCCATGGGCGATGCAGTGATCCGTCTTCCCTTCCGCGCTCTTGGTGCAGCCGAGATGCAGGCACCGTCGTCCTCCGCCGTGGGCCTTGCAGTAGGCCGTGCGGCTCTCGGCGCCCTTGTGACACCCGGGCTTCTGGCACCTCTGCCCGCCGCCGTGAGCGATGCACAGGCCCGACGCGCCTCGCGCGCCCTTGGAGCACCCTTTGAACCTGCACTTCTTGGGATGCCGGCGTTGAGCCTGCTGTCCAGGATTGCTTACCACGGTCACGACATCAGAGCTGACGCCACCAAATGAAGCCTCCGTCATGGATACCGAAGGTTCAGGGCTGAGCTGAAAACCGCGGGGATCAGTACCGTCATTACTGTCGTCTGCATCATCTAGCAAACCCTGCTCCTCTTCGGCTGTTGAATAGTTTGGCCGAGGCGCGAAGAGCAGCGATGGCATGTAGCCGCCGGAGCTTCTCCTGGCGGACGTGGAGCCCTCATCAACAGTGGAAAAGGAGATGATGGTTCCGGCAGGTACGCCCAAGTGTTTAGTTGCTCCAGCATTTCGCCCCTGATGAATCCCAAGGTTCAGCGCCCCTGGATCAGCGAAGGAGAAGCTCTGGCCAAACAAAGTTACAGGTGGTCTCGACTTGTCTGCTCCGGCAGGCTGCTGTTGATCACAATCACAAGAGTTAACGTCCGGGTCCGGCGTCGGACCCAGCCCGAGGACTAGCCTGCATCCATCATCTTGAGCAGGCGCATGAATCGGCCTCTGAAAACCTCTGTGGCCATGGCTGCTGCTACTGTTCACTGCTGAACCCAGCTGGTCTGTGCCAAATGTTATCTGATTCTGACCATGGCTACCCGTTGTGTAGCTCGTCACTGAGAAACCAACTGACACTGCAGAATCATCCATGAGAGCCTGGTTTCCGCGGTGGAGGACACCCGCGAAACCGTTATTCATCTAGGCTGAGTACTTGAAAAATACAGTGAAGGTGGTGGACGAACAACAATGAGGAGAGTGTATTTCTGCACAGTGAGATCAGTGGTTTACTTTACTGATCTCTTATATGTGCACAGTCGAGTAGACGAAGTGAAAGAATATCAGCAGCAGTGAAGTACCATCTGATCCACCGCTAACAAAGCCAGATGTGTCTGCCCGGTCCATTACTGTCTTGCTCCAGTATAAAAATTGTGATCCAGGAGGTACTTGACCTCTCTGATAGACTAAACTGTATAGTTATGTTCACTGACAGTTGATCATCAATAAGAAGCAGAGGAAGCCAAGGTGCGCTGCCAGCGAATTCTTCAGACTACAACACTGCAAAAAGGAGTAGAAACACCGTTGAGATTCTGTTCTAGAAAAAACTTAGGTCCCATTTGGCATGCAAAAATTCACAACAGTATATAATTACTATCCCGTGAAATTCTTGTACTCCAAATATGGTGCTCAATAAGTAAGAATGGTTTATTATTATTATTTAGGGTTCATAGTTGACACCATCCACCAAGTCATGCAATTGAACTTAACCATAGAACTACGTAAGGAAAATCTCTATTTACCGCACTTGAGAAAATGATTCATTATAGTAGCGCCAGTAAACAGACAACAACCAATCATAATTAGGAAGAACGTTGACCAGGATTTTTTTTATCAAAAATAGATCTATATTTTGTTGGCAGACCACAAAGAATAATTGAAGGTAAAAAAACAGAGTAAAACAACAAGTGGCCTAACTATTCTACTTGCGTTTGATATATGGCTTTTATTTTTCCAATAATTAGCTTTACCTTGGGTGCTAGAGTTAGTTTTGACGAATGAATGAAGAAGAAAAAGATGCCAAGCACAAACATGAACCTGAGACAATAAAATCATTGAGGACCACCATGATTACTTGAGAACAAGAGTTTGTGCAATACAAAGGCATGTTAAAATCTTCTGCTCTCCAAAAAAAAGATACGTTGACATCTCGGCTAATCAAGTTGACTTTCCTAGCTATCGATCCCTAGATAGGTTGTGGCGTTATGCAAACAATTTTGAGAAAAAAACAAATGGATATCACATAGCTTAATGCACGATTGTTCATGAATCAGTCAGTAATGATGATACCAGCCCGTACAAACCTTCTTGCAGAAGTACATAATTCAGGTCTGCTCAGGTCATACGTACTGTATGCCTAAAACCGTACAAGAAAAATTCCTATACGTTACAACCTGAAGAGCAGTCCAGAGCTCGAGCAGCATGGGCCTCCCCTCAGAGCCACCGAATTCACGCTGCAACTCCGGTGACCACGCAACACGAGACAGAGGACAGGACAGATCTGAATGAACCGAGCAGCAATTGCTTAGCCGTGGGCATCCATGGCAGAAACCTCAAAACCCTCGAATCAGCGGTCGGAATCAACAGCAACCCACCCGCAAAAGCTACCGTACTTGACATGCATGCCTAACCAGGGCTGCTTGCTTAGCTAGGCTGTACGCAGCTGCGTGCCCAGCGAAACGAGAGGAGAAGAATTGCGGCCGCGGGGCCAAGGCAGAGAGCATACAATACAACGCCGAAGCGGAAGGAATCTTGGCAAGGAAACAGAGGCGGGGAAGAAAACAGAGGAAGAGAATCACCTTGCAACCCGGCGCCAGCGGAGAGAATCACAATCACAGGCGCGCAAAGAGGGGCAGAGAGAGAGAGAAAAGGAGAGGAGGGAGGGAGATTTTATTATGGAGAGGCAGGCAGGAGAGAGTGGTCTGACGGAGTAGTACTACGTCACATGACGGCGGCGCCTTTCCCACGCGCAGCGGGCAGCGCACCTGGCTCCAGCGACCAGCCGGCGCGTCCCCGCTCCGCTTGGCGGCTGGAAGCTGGAGCCGACGCGGACGGGGTGCGTTTCGCTCGCTGCTCTGGCGGCGTCGCGTGTGTGGCCTACGTTTATTTGGGGTGCGTGTGCGTCCGCCTGGGTGGATTCCTCCTCGCTCCACCTCGCCAGTGCCTGCTTTTGTGGAATTGCGACGACGCATCGGTAGGTTTTGGACGGAAGCTCTGGTGGCGATGTTTTCAGCATCTCCCTCCTTCTGCCTCTCGCCCGAAGGAAGTCTTTTTCAGCCATCTCCCACTCATGTCATGTTGCTAGTTTTACCAAAAGTGCTTTAACGCTCTTGAATATATATACTCTCCTTTTTTACATGTCACATTAGTTTTATTCAATGTTAAACACTATTATCTTTGATCATCTATTTCAAAGAATCCTTATAATTTCACAACATATGGATTAATATTATGAAAATATTTCTTATAGTGAATTTGAAACACAAATCTTATGTTTTTTTCTTGATAATGTCAATGATAATGAGCTATCTATTTTTGTTGGATCTATTTAGTCCTAGCCCAATCTTAAGTTAAATGAATTTCAAGGGCTAAAATAACTGCTAGTGCAGTAAATGATTAATCGTGTATGCAAAGTTGATAGGAGATTGACTCATCTTAAATAGATGGTTATTGTGTGCACCGGTTACGGGTGTAAGGCAAGTCACACGTCCGCACGTCTGCCGCGACGTGAATGGGCTAGAGCGGCCAGACCATGACATGAGTGGTGTGATGCCAATGACACTTTTGCAGCTCAAAACTCAAAGCGAAAATGATAAGAGTAGGAACAGCGAACTGAGTGAGGTAAGAGAAATGAGTGATCGATGGACAGAGAGAGTGAAAGATGAAAGAAAGAAATCTATCATCTTTAATATTAGATATAGATATAAATAGTTTTTGTACTAACTAGCTATTCTTGTCCTTCTCATTTTCTTGAAAAAGAACAAAAGACATTAGTTTTTGCACGTTTATCTTCCTTTAATATTCTACTTGATATCCAATTCTTATTTGGGTTCTTTTTCTAGAAAGAAATCTATATAAAGGAACCACTTAGTCCAGCCTATCAGTTGTTGTTGGGGCGTGTATTATCCTTTTTTTTTGTCTATAAGTAAGTGTGTTATGCCAGAATTTTCATTCCATTTTTCATGTTTCTAATTAGTAGTTTGATGCACCACAAGAAAAAAAATGCTTTTAGAAGACAACCTCTCTAAGTAACAGAGACGGACACATCTAAAGACTTTGGTTAAGTGGCCTCCAAGTATAAGCATGTCTCTGTTAATTATTTTTAAGACAGGCATCATAAGGGAATTGACAGGGAGTAGATTTTTTTTGAGGATGGGTGGCGTGCGGGTAGACGGGGCTGCCGTAAGAGCAACGTGTGGGTGCAGCACTAGGCAAGATGATGAGGGAAGGCGAAAGTGGAAGGGAATTGATGGAATTACCTTGTTTTGGACCCCAATCAATGTTGAATTCGCTTTGGCTTAATTCATGGTAGAAGCTATCCACAAAATCATTGTTTGGTAGCGCTCCTCGGATTCTCGCATGGAGCGGAGTAGCTGAAGCGCTACCAAACAGTCCCTAAACGTGCTGAGATTCATCAACCTAGTTAGGAATCATCGTAGCAGCCCTCACCACTATAGATTCTCCCTTCCCTGTGTCATCTTCCTTGATCATTGTTGTGGATCTGCACCGTCAACAAGCCACTACTCATCACCCACAATGTGGAGCAACAAGATAGAGGGTAGAGAGGAGAGCTATAGGATGAGAAGAGGAAGAGAAGAGTGTCACTAGTATGAGTGGCATGCGAGCAAGCGAAGAAGAGCAACGACGGAGTGCAACACTGAATGAAATGCCGAGGGGGAGGGAGGAGTAGATGTTTTTCACTCCCCACCCGACGTAAAAGAACATGAATTGCTCCAACTTGAGTCGAGGGAGAAACTGTTGTCAAAATCGCCATTTGGTGGTGCTTCTTGGCTTCCGCATGGAGCCAAAGCGCTAACATGTCAACAACCATCCACCTAATATACTAGGAACCATCATAACAGTCCTTCAGACGTGCACGGTGAACAAAAGCCATGAATTTTCTGACGATTAGAAGTCAACAACTCACATTTGTTTATGGCTAACTCACATCAGAAGTCAACAACTTGAGTGCTAGATCAACCTTTTTCACCCGAATTGTATCAGAAGCAAAAACTCCAATTTTAGCTACTGTTGACTTATGTTAGATTTACACTTAACTTGTTCTAGAGAATTACATCGATTATTTTGGTGTAATTTCTAGGTAGAATTGGTGTAAGTAAAAAAAATTAGGTGCAGGGAAGGAAAAATTCACCCGATTCTTACAACATCTTTGATCTAGGTCATGAAGTCCTTTAAAACATCCGATTTTTTTATGACATGCCCATAAAAGTCGGATGTAGGTAGAAGTTTTTTTTACCTAGATACGAGATAGCAAAATTGAAAGAGGACTATTACTACAAGGCTGCTGCTCTCCTCTAGAAGTAATACGACCAAGCACCACAACAAAAACAAAAGTCTAAAACGCAATTAGCGACTCACCATATATAGTAGAGAGCCGCCGTACGTGTGTACTCATCCTTTTAGATTCATTGACTAGTGAATCTAATGCCTCCTGCCAATGACGATGATAGACACGGTCGACCACACATGCATGATTGAGAAAAAAAAATCAAGAACACCTAGCTAGCGTAAGTAAACAAAATTCAAACAGCACAAGCTATGCAATGCAACAAACCGCGCAAGAAGTGAACGGTACCACGGACCACGGGGGGACTGGACCATCAGCTCTCGATCGATTCCCTCCTCTGGACAGCAGCCCTCACCCGTCGCTTTCAAGGAAAAGAGAGGGTCAGGCTGTCGCAGGACCTCAGGCGTCTATCGACCACAAGGGGAGACGACGCGCCCGTCGCTAGTGAAGCTGTATCTTCGTAGATATTTTGTAGGCGTATATATATATAGTAGTATAAGGTTCTAGTCTAGCGTATAACTCAGTAGCATGTATTGGTGTGTGTTGAGTGTGTGCGTGCGTGTGTTTAGTTGTACGTTCAGATATTACGACTTATTACCAGAGCTGAGGAATAAAA